CCAATCCGCCCACCACGCTATGATCGCCACCGAATGTTTCCAACCGCCTCCGTGGTGTAGTGGTTAGAGCGTCCGCCCGGGGAGCGGAAGGTCGCGGGTTCGATCCCCGACCGCGTCATACCAAAAGACATTAAAATATGGTACTTGTTGGTCCCTGCCAGGCGCTCGGCATTAATGGGTACAACAAGGACTGGTCGGCTCGGAGTCAGTATAATGTGTCTGAGTGGGGTATTCATGCTTCACTGCGGCATGGTATCTCAGTGGACTAGCACTATGAAACCAGCTTAAGTCTGGGCTAGTACAAGCAGCCGCACATACACATACACATGCATGCACGTCGTCATATGAGCGAAATATTCTCAAGCACGACGTTAAACCAATTTTTCTCCTCACCTCACCCTAATGTTTCCGCAGCAGCTTAACAAGACAAGGAAGCATAAAGACTTCTGTTTCTAATCTTAGAACATTCGAAAGGAGTCTATGTTTATATGAATCTATATGTAAAGCATTTCAGTTATATGTTTGTATTTGAGATACATTTAGCATTTAGGTAGCAGAACATCAGTTAAAACCTATGTGTCGATGTTAAATGACCTACGAAAATACTTCAATCGTCATTCAGTATGAACTGGGCGTCACAAACGTTTGTGTGCAACATTAGTAAATGGAAGTGGGTGAGACTTTGTTCATATGATCCCAAACGTTAAGGTTAAATTATGAAACATGGTTCAAACTGTACGAAATTTCGGACTTTCGGATTCAAGTTAATAATAACATATTTTTGTATTTCTGCCCTGCATTTTTTTAAAGTTCTACTATCTTTCTTATAATGTTAGCTAAAGGCATATTGCGTATTTCATTGCCCGTGTATTGTCCCAAAGGAGAAGAGACCTTTTCAAAACAGAAATAATATAATTAGGTTGCTTATATAGATCTTGATTCCATACACATGTATGCTCAGAGCGCGACAGGGAGAGTGGAACGTACATGTCAGAGAAGCACAGGTGGAACATAAAGTGCTGACATTTGATTTGGTCCACTGGTGGTAAAGTCTTCAACTCAATTTGAAGAGCGTTCCAGAGTTGTGCCGATACTTAGAGAATGATCGACATCCGAAGGTTTTCAATTTTGTCCGCGGAATGACAAGATTGTGTTGCGAACATGATCTGAGTCTTCTCGCTGACCAATTCGCAAAGATAGTTTGGCGCTGTTCCGTTGACACAGTGGTAAGTAAGTGTCAAGACTTTGAACTGGAATCTCTCCTGGACTGGGAGCCAGTGAAGGGACTTTAGAATCGGTTTGATGTGGCAGTGTTTTGGTAATTTGATTACACTCCTGGCAGCTGTATTCTGGACCCTCTGGAGATGCTCCTGTAAGAAGGCTGTTGCTCCTGACATTGTTATAGAAGTAACCGGAGGCATTGCCATGCCAGTTTTAAAGTAACACTGCTTTGACAAAGTAAGTGAATATAGTTTTGTGTCGCTTTTAGCAATGTTCAAAGCAACACCAGCTTCACACCTTGTACATGGGGCAGTGTATGGCGTGGCATTTTAAGTTTGGAGGGTTAAGGATGTTCACTTGATACACATGATCTCACTTGATACATTAGTACATTCTGGGTAGAGGATGAACTTCTACTTTCCAGAGCAAACCAAATGCAGGGATTTGCGCTTTAAAAAACCACAACAAGGCTCCACCCGACCACATGTGAACTAAAACATTTCCGTATCCGGAGATTGTAGATCAGGCGGAGATCTTCCACCAAAGCATCAATTGGTATCAAGACTTCAAGGTAAAGGGCGAAAACCTGAAGATCTGACTGGTAGTCCCACGTCCTTCACTTCACTCACAGTACTTTACATATGTGAAGCCCATTTCGGGTGTCCTCGCCGTGATATTGCTGCAATATTGCTAAAAGCGGCGTAAAACCATACTCACTCACTCACAGTACTTGACATTCACTTAACTGGTTGAAACTTGAGTTGTCCACCTGAGAGGGTCCGGAAATACGTTGATATACGTCATTGTTGCGTTCGTTAACATTGCACGTGTGGAAAAATAATATTTAAATGATTAATTATGGTTGTATCATGATGGGAGAGTACAGTGACATGCTATATTCTTCCATTCCGTTTCATCCTAGTGCTTATTGTCGCCCCCATGCAGATCACTCAATTAACCCCTCTCGAAGTTACGCAACTTCCGGGTTACAATTGATCTTCAGCTATTAACGGGATCGGGTTGTCAGGCTCACGGACTTGGTTGACACATCTCATCGTATCCCAATTACGTAGATCGATGCTCATGTTGTTCACTGGATTGTCTGGTGCAGAGTCGATTATTTTCATAACTTCAGCTGAAATATTGCTGAATGCGGGGTTGAACAACACAGACAACCAGACAAACATAACCAATTATAAGGGAAATATGGTGAATTTGTTATCGTCTAATTCCAAGAACTCAAAGTTGTTTTGGATCCAAGTTAAAATCCTAACAACGGATAAATCAACTGATATATGCTGAAATATTGCTGAATGCGGGGCTGAACAACACAGACAACCAGACAAACATATGCAAGTGTTGATGACATTATGACTAGTTTAACCTTGTATTACTAGGACTGACTGACTGACTGAGTGTGGTTTTACGCCTCTTTTAGCAATATTCCAGCAACATCACGGCGGGGGACACCAGAAATGGGCTTCACACATTGTGCCCATGTGGGGATTTGAACCCGGGGCTTCGGCGTGACGAGCCAACGCTTTAACCATTAGGCTACCCCACCGCCCCTCTTTTATTAGATGACACACACATACACATACATAACCTTGTATTACTAGGACTGACTGACTGACTGAGTGTGGTTTTACGCCGCTTTTAGCAATATTCCAGCAACATCACGGCGGGGGACACCAGAAAATGGGCTTCACACATTGTACCCATGTGGGGATTCGAACCCGGGTCGCCGGCGTGACGAGCCAACGCTTTAACCACTAAGCTACCCCACCACCCCGTATTACTAGGATGGACATGACAACACATATTACCACTCGTTTACGTGTTGCATGTTGTTTTTGCCCGTCTTTCTTTTTATTCTTGGTTTTTTTCTCAGTATTATCCTATTCATAATAGTTTTAACAAACGACAAGGTCGGATTATGGTTCTGTTTTGCTCATGGAAAATGCAGAGTTGCAGAAATGTGAAATATTTACAATAAGGCCACTTCTATTGCGCAGAACTACACGCCATACGGGCATGCTCTAAGCGCATAGAACATAATGGACATTATCACCACCGATAACTCAAGCTGCCTTTGAGGCTGCCTTTGAGTCATGTTAGACTTATCCCATTAGGTACCCATGTTGCACTGGGTGAACAGAGGCAATTTGAACAAATCCCCTTGCCTTAGGTGAGACCACAGGGGGTTGTAACGCTAAAACTGCCATCAAGGTATGTACTGTCACTAACGGGGTCATATCACTACATAAGAGCAGGGATTTTGGCTCGTAATCAAGAAATCACGATTTTTCGAGCTTCCGAAGACCCTAGATCCCAAATTACTCCTTCGATTTTTGTGCTGTATGTCTTATTTTGTAGGTAAATCTATTGGCTTGAAATGTGTGCATACTTTAAATGGGAAAAATACAGTGAGCATTATTGAATTCGCCCTGAAACGAGCTTGGTATGTTGACCTCGTTACATCCCTTTCCTTTTATATAGTGAATCAGTGATAAGACCCCGTTAGTGACAGTACATACCTTGATGAAAGTTTTTAGCGTTACAAACCCCTGTGGGTGAGTCCTTATGTTTTGTTGTGGGGCAGGACAGAATTCCTGGAAAATCTCAATAGTTAAGCTTCCAAACACGGTCACCCATCCCAGGATTCAACTGATTTGTGACCTGAGCTCTATCAGTTTAAAAGATATCAAAAAGTAAATAGACACAATTCAAACATATCGTAACAAGTGTATTTCAGGTCAGTCTTGGTCATGCTAAGATGTTACCTAGAAGGTATAAATACACATTCTTTTACTCATATTGACATTACTTCTGTATCGGTTGTGTTTGAAGTCTAACAGTGAGTGATTTGGGTTTACGCCGCTTTTAGCAATATTCCAGTAGTATCACGGCGGGGGACACCAGGAATGGGCTTCATACATTGTACCCATGTGGGGAATCGAACTCGGGCCTTTGCCATGACGAGCGAACGCTTTAACCACTAGGCTACCAGTGACAGGATACTTGTCAGCTGCGCCCAGACGTTTTTCATGAAAAATCATAAAATTAATAACAGTGATCATTGTGCGTACGTGCTTCAACGGCCGTGATTAATCATATTGTGCGATAGAGGGTGTAGTGAGTATTTATCAAAACGCGGAAGGCCAAGGTTCGTGTCCAAATACTGTTGAAGTATGGTTAACCCCAATTCAAGTGTTCCCTGCCGTGATTTTGTTAAAAAAAACCTGTGAAGATCCGGGTTAAATTTGGTCTTTGAACAGCACCCCATGCTTGTCGTAAGAGGCTACTAGTGGGACCAGGTGGTCAGACTCGCTGACTTGGTTGACACATGTCATCGTACCCCAATGGTGTAGATCGATGCTCATGCTGTTGATCATTGGATTGTCTGGTCCAGACTCCATTACTTACAGACCGCCGACATATAGCTGGACCTTGCTGAGTGCGTCGTTAAACAACAGCAAAACAAAAACAAAACCAAAGAATTTGTTACCAGCGGCATAAACTCACATTCACTCATTCACTTTTATCTTAAGAGTGACTACCGATTGATGGGCTGATGACAGTCTTAAATATTGGTTGTGGTTAATTCACTTATACAGAATATGTTGACATGAAGCAGGTTAGTTGTGATATCCCCGATTTACTTCAGAACAGGCACATGGTGAAATATGTTTCATGAGATAATGCTGTAGGGAATGCGACGTCGTTTCCTGTCTACTCTCCTGGGCCAGCGAGCATTGTTCCGGTCCGATACAGACATTCTCCGAGTGACTATACAGTCAGTGTCCCCAGCCCAGCTAAGGTAAGCTCTTAATGTCACGTTGTATAATTAAGTTTTATGTGACCAGTACGGTTCGTTATTTGAACAAAATGAACCATTCATTGTTAACGGAATTTATTAATCTGAACATCTGAATGAATAAGGTTTTAATGTCACTTTAACCAAACATCACCAGAAATATGGAAATGTCTCCAGTATGTACCGATGTAGAGAAGCGAACCTGGACTATCGCGTTGATTGTCAAACGCTTTCGCCACTGTGCTTCGCCGCTAAGTACTAAAAACAGAAAACTCGTTCTTCCCTGTGAATATAATATGGTAAAGAAACGTTAAATAACATTTGATCTTGGGGGGGGAGAGATTTGCTTATTTTCAAATTCGATATTCTACAAACTCTGCACTAGGCATTTAGTTAGCGAATGTATCCCAGTCAAGCGAACATAAACTATACTAGCCACATAAAGAAACTATGCATTGTCAAAATATTATCCCAGTTGATAAGTACGATAACAATGTCAAAGGTACATATACACTTTAATGGAGGGATCATGAGACCATAACAAGTCGGGAGAATTTCAATTGAAAAGTCAATCACAATGACGTCACGAGTCCACAAGCGGGACAGGGGTCAAACGACCTTGTCACAAGCTCAATAACCGGTATGTCCACCATCGGCATTGAGAACAGCAGTGCATCGACGACGCATAGAGCCTATCAAACGTGCAAGGAAGGCTTGTGGGATGTCACGCCAGATACTCTCAAGTTCTGTTGCAAGGTCAAGGACGTTATCTGGCGGATGAGGAAGACGGCGTAGACGTCGATCCATCTCGTCCCAAACATGCTCTATCGGGCAGAGATCCGGTGAATTTGCAGGCCAAGGCAGTAAGTCAACGTTGTGGTGTTGCAAGAAATCCATAGCAACCCTTGCCGTATGAGGGCGGGCATTGTCCTGTTGGAATGTTAACCCAGGGCCATGACGTTGCAGAAAAGGAATTGCCACAGGTCGAAGAATCTGACCCCTGTAGCCCACACCAGTTAAGTTGCCCTGAACAATCACCAAAGGAGTTCTTTGGCGTGCTGTTATTCCACCCCAAATCATCACGGAACCGCCACCAAAGCGATTCCTCTCCAAGACACAGGCCTGTGCATAACGTTCTCCCAAGCGTCTATAGACACGTTGACGTTCATCACTATGGGAAATGTCAAACCCGGACTCATCTGTAAGAACAACATTTCTCCACCAAAACACGGGTCTCCGGACATGATTTCGGCACCACATTCGGCGAGCTTGTCGATGACGTTGTGTCAGGATAGACCGTATGGCGGGACGTCGTGGTCTGATCCCGTGATGACGTAAACGTTGTCGAACTGTGTTGGGGTGGTTACGACGAAGTCCTGGGATGGTTCGGGCAGTCATCACTGCAGTCTGAAACCTGTGGCGAAGATGGGTCACACTTATTGATCTGTCCTGTCTTGGCGTTGTTACTTAATTCGATCGATGACGTCATTTGTGTTCTGGTAGGGTCTCACCAGTGCAGAAATGGTGTTCCGGTTGCAGTGGAAATGTGCAGCCACTTGTCGTTGAGACATTCCCCGACGGACCATCCCAATGGCCTCATGACGTTGTGCAGACGTGAGCCTTGGCATGCTATGCGTTTCAATAGCCCTTTAATTTATTGAACGATCGCAAGGGCAGGGGTTGAGCTTTCCAAAGTGACAGTATTGTGTGGCATTCATTTGCTCTGTTTTTCTTTCCCGGAATGCACGTGCAACAACGTATTGTACGTCTCAAGGACGAACCCACTGACGTCACGGAACGTGGCACGTGCATGCATCTTGGATACATGTCACTAATCTCTGAGTTTAAATCCTTATGTGTCTACACGGGTTTGATAAATTTAGATTAAAATTTTTGTATGCACAGTTTCTTTATGTGCCTATAGTTTGGCATGAAATGCATGTGGACCCGGTTTTTTGTAAATATCTCTTCATCCAATGACGCTGTTACAGGTCATTGGCTCCCTCCCTCTGCAAGCATTCTGCGTTCTGCTGTTTATTTTGTTGACAGTTACATAGACAGATTCTTTAATACAAATGCATAAAATCGGTGATTTACAATGTGATTAGGTTGTCTGACAAAACATCCACTTGCACAGTTTGAGATCGATTGGGTCATTGGATGAAGAGATATTCACAAAAAACCGGGTCCACATGCATTTCATGCCAAACTATAGTATACATGATGATTGAATAATTTGTTTTGCAAAAGTATATAAGGCCAGACCGATTTTATTTCTTGTTTTACGGATCCGTCGGTCGTATTTTTAAGAAAACTTTAAAATTAATTTTTCCCGCTCAAAACTATAATCCTAATGTTAATGTGAAATACTCTTGAAATCAGTGTGAAACCTAAACTCACTAAACTTATTTTTAGTTGATATGAACAAACCAAAAGAGTTAACATGGAAACTTTTGTGGGTTTTTGCTTCGACTGGTGATTTAAAAAAGAAATTCCTCCTGCCTTTAGGTTGTGTGAGGACAAAAATCCGTAAAACAAGAAATAAAATGGTTTGGCCAAAGCAACTCTGGTAAATATACTCAACGTTAACCACACTGTCCTGTCTACCAGAAAACAGGATACACCAGTATTCCGATTAGTCATATATCAATTTGATTATGTTGCATCTGTTATAAGTCGACGAACATTTAACCGTTCATGAATGGTCGAGATACGGGCATTGTACGACAAAGATCAAAGGATGTTAAACTGGAAGTCAACTCATAAAATGATTGTCATATTATGCATGGTCAGTTTCTATATTATATACACGTCTTGGAAGGACACCAACATAATACACTTTGCGTGTACAATGACAATGGGAAATAATATCCACCTTGGTGAATATTTCGGAATTGGTGAATAGCAATAGTTGTATCCGGGTTAGAATTGGTCTTCAGCGACCCGTGAGTTTAGTTTTACGTCGCACTCAGCAATATTCCAGCTATATGGCGGCGGTCTGTAAATAATCGAGTCTGGACCAGACAATCCAGTGATCAACAGCATGAGCATCGATCTGCGCAATTTGGAACCGATGACATGTGTCAACCAAGCCAGCGAGTCTGACCACCCGATCCCGTTAGTCGCCTCTTACGACAAGCATGGGTAACTGAAGGCCAATATTTTCTCTTGTCGGAATGTAAGTTATTCCCTAAAGTCCCACAAAGAGCTGGGATCATATGTCTTTCAAATATATATACAAACGACAGGAACGACAGTTCCAATACAAAAGGTTCGTAGCGCTACGACACTCACATGCCTTTGATAAACTATAGAGTTACGACTGGTCGTAACGTTACGAACGCTTTGTGGATCGGGGCCCAGGTGAGCAGCTTAAGGTTTTGCCGTTTTCATAATTAATGGTTCTGCACAGGATACCGTCGCATGGCAAGAGTCCGACAACAAATAAAAACAACTTCCTTACCTTGTTTATGTGAGTTAGTGGCGGGGGATACCGGAACGCTTGACACGCCTGTCCTAAAGCACTGCACGGTTAGATAATCAGCAGATTACATGATAGATTCTCCATATATGACACTTTAAATATACGTCAAGGCAGTTCATCTGTCATAGTTTGTATTCTCGTACGTTTCAAGATATGTCAGCTTTTAGTAAGTTTAATAAACCCCCTGAAAATTCCTGGATCCGCCTATGCATGCAGGCACGCACGCAGCACGCACACACACACACACACACAACACACACACACAAACCATACCATATAAAGGCGACACAGCGTGCTAACAATAGTTGCCTAATATGGAAGACTGACTGACTGAGTTAGGTTTTACGCCACTTTTAGCAATATTCCAGCAACATCACGGCGGGGGATACCAGAAATGGGCTTCACACATTGTACCCATGTGGGGATTCGAACCCGGGTCTTCGGCGTGACGAGCCAACGCTTTAACCACTAGGCTACCCCACCGCCCCTCTAATATGGAAGAGATTCAGACAGATACCTATGATCTTTACAAAGCAAAAGCATTATTGGGACATGTCTCAGCCCATAATTACAGAATCCTGGCACGTATAAACTAACACTTAGTCCCTGAAAATAGATAATTTGGATAGAAAGAGATAAATTTATTTAAAGTGAAAGTGAGCCCTTGTGAGTTCCGGGATTCAGAAAAAGGGGCATCTAGACATCTTGGGATCAGCAGATCTTGACTCATTGACGATTTACAATAAATCCCGCCTAGGCGATCTTAGTGTTACGACTATCGTAAGCCAAAGTATGGGAGGGCTAAAATCCCTTTGAGGAACGGGACTCACTCACTCGGCATATCAAATACTCGTTTAGCCACAAATCAATAAAATTCATGTTGACATTCCAGGGTCCCGATCAACGAAACCTTCGTAGCGTTACGACATTTATAAATCTATGATAAACTATAGAGTTACGACAGGTCGTAATGATACGAATCCTTTGAGGAACGGGACCCACTCACTCAGCGTATCAAATACTCGTTTTAGCCACAATGTCATGTAGACATTCCAGGGTCTCGATCCACGAAATGTTCGTAGCGTTACGACATTCATAAGTCTATGATTAACTTATAGAGTTACGACAGGTAATAATGCTACGAACCCTTTGTGGATCGGAACGAAGGATCCCGCTTCACAAAGCGATCGTACAACTACATTGTGATCAATTCTACGGTTACATATAGATTTACGAAATGCGTAGCGGCACGAACGGAAAACAACGATTTTATGGCGAATGATATATGATATTAATCGTAAGAGAAATGAGTATTTCATACAATACACTAGATAATCGGAGGCAATTATATGTGAATCACGTATTATTTTCTATTCAGATATGATTTCTTCATCATCTAGTGGATCTTCTACAGATCTATTGCATTCAACGCTACCGTACACACCGCTAGCATCTACAGCTCCTCTAACAACTGATATCACGTCTACAGGTCTACCGTCAACTGCCCTCCTGTCAACAGCTCTACCGTCTACTAATGCGACAACAAATGGCGTTTCCCATTCTGACACAACCATATTCATTTTGCCGAAGAAATACGTTGACTTTCTCAACGAGGACACAGCTCTGAAGCTTGTTGTTCCAATCATTTTTGTCGCCATCATGATGCTTATCGGCGTCCTCGGCAACGTCCTTGTCATCTACGTATATGGCTGTCGATGGCACCGCGCCACAACCAAGATCTTCGTTACGACACTTGCCGTCCTTGACCTTGTTAACTGTATCATCACCATGCCGACAGAAATAGTTATCCTGCGGAACTTCTATTACCTTGATATGCCTGTATATTGCCAGCTTTCCCGTTTCTCCACATTCTGGATGAACAACAATTCAGCCATAGTTCTACTCATCATTTCCATTGATCGCTTCATCAAAATTTGTAAGCCAAACAAGAACTCCTTTTCATACAAAGGGGCAAAGATGGCGTGTGGAGTTGCAGTGCTCATTGGACTAGCGGTATCGTGGCCAGCTTTGGTAATCTATGGCAAACAGATTGTCTTCTTTCAAACGAAAAGAGGCTATATGAAATTTGTAATGTGCAATGTGGCTGACTCGGTGAAAGATAAGTGGTATGCAGAAGGCTATTACATATACCTCTGGGTTGGCTTCATCGCTACAGCAATGGTCATGATAGTGCTGTATACACTCATTGGGGTGCGGATCTGGATGAGGAAATTCAGGATGGACAAGAGAACCGAGTCTGTGAGAACCATGTCGTTCCAATTCAGCACAGCTGAAGGCCGCAAGATCTATAAAGGATCCGCGGAGAAGAGATCGGAGAATGCACCCAAAAGAGCTTCAGAAGATTCCAGTGGTGAAGAAATGCCAGATGACGTTTTCAGGAGCAATGACAGCTCCAGCGATACCGTACCACAGCCGCGTAGGAATCGGCTTGCAACACTTGCTTCTATAAAGTTCACTAAACAAGGAATTCAAGCTGGGAGGGCAACTCTGATGTTGGCTATCATTACAGCGGTGTACGTTATCAGCTTTTTACCGTTCCTGGTAATCACCATGATTCGGACAGTTGTAGGAGATACCTGGTATCAGAATCTTTCCGATGGACAGAAGGTCGCGGTCAACTTGTTTCTGAGATCCTACCTCGTCAGCAACACCGTAAACCCCATCATCTACGGCTTCTGCAACATCCAGTTCCGACGGGAGTGTGTTCGTCTTTGCAGAAGGATGGCATGTCGCAAAAAGTGAGGCACCCTTGATGCATGGTGAGGTTTTCTTAAGAGCAGCGACCTCAGTAAGGGAGTAAGTGAGATTACTTTAACACCCGTTTGAACAGATTCAAATATATACAGTATATAATCTTTATGTGGGCAAAGTCCAACGTGTCTAGCACATGTACCTGCCGAAAGCCTCCCGTCCGAAACTATAAATTCGTTTGCTCATACTGTCTGTTGCTGTCGTTAAATTTAATGTTCCCTTTAACTACATGATGTCATGTGTAAATGTGATCAAACTTAATATGATGTACATATGATGAGGTATACATTTTAGTTTAGTTAAAAACAAGTTAATTTTTAAACGTGTGTTGACGCTCAGTTACAATGGTAAACATTGATTCATGACACTTCAGTACCTCGTTTAACACTGAGCGAGTGAGTGAGAATGGTTTTACGCCGCTTTTAGCAATATTCCAGCAATATCACGGCGGGGGACACCAGAAATGGGCTTCACATGTTGTACCCATGTGGGGAATCGAACCCGGGTCTTAGGCGTGACGAGCGAACGCGTTAACCATTTGGCTACCCCCGCCTCGTTTAACAGCGTAATCATGTGGGAGTAAATATGTCGTAAAGATATGTTTTTGTCAAACTAAGGATCAAAATCACGACCAAGCGCCTTAATATACGCTTACATATATATACCAACTAACTGGTAACGTGCTCCAGCAGTTTCGTCTTACTCCACTTTTAGTTTTATGACGGCATGTGAACTAGATGTTGGAGAAAATCTAGAAATGATCCCAATTTTACACGTTTTGAACTTTTGGAAACCTGCGAGCACGGGAATTATGTTGACCAACTGAATCAGAACGAATCTTGTGTCTAGCGCGCGTAAGGGACGCAACTCTTCGCGGCGATTGAAACAACTGGTTTGCTTCGCAGATTGGGCTATGAATTCAGATTCTGACGGGGAATATACAGCCGACTGGTCGGCTCCTGATGATTTTGAGGAAACTTCTACTCATGCCGAATTTGCTGAGAAATATAAAGCTATGTTGGCTAAACGTCCAAAACGAAAACATGATGACGATGTTCAGACAAATTTTACAGAATAAAATCTGAAGCCCATTGTTATTTTTTCCTCGGTAGACTCTAGTGTCAGTTTGAAATCCGTCACTCCCGTTGCACTAACTAAGGACATTCAAAAACATATTGGTGATATACATAGCCTAAAGAGGCTAGATAAAGGTGACATTGTGTTACACTGCAGATCGGCTGAGCAGTCCAAAACGGCTCCCTCATTGACGCGAATTTGTGGGAAACAAATCAAAGCTTATGTCCCCAAAAGTTTGCGAGAATCAAAAGGTGTTATTTACAATATAGATCTGGATATTTCTGAAGATGAAATAGTTGAGCAGTTGAAATCCTTCAAAGTGACTGATGCTAAACGTTTAACCAGAGGTAAGGAAAAACAGCAGACATTATCAGTTCTGTTAACTTTTGCAAGTACCACACTCCCAGAGCATGTATACATGTACTATCAGTCTTTCAAGGTAAGAACGTATGTACCACCAGCCCTTAGGTGTTATAAATGCCAGCGTTTCGGTTATACAACAAACAATTGTAAAAGTACAGTTCAGGTTTGTGCTCGCTGCAGTGGGGATCATGCTTATGATGCCTGTCTTTCTAAAGATACCTTGAAATGTTCCAGTTGTGGAGGAAATCACAGCGCAGCATATAGAGGTTGTAATAAATACAAGGAAGCGGTTGAAATCCAACGTGTAAAAGTTGAAAACAAAGTTTCTTATAAAGAAGCCGTACAAATGGTCAAAGTAAACAATCCTATGTCTATGTCCTTTGCAAATGCTGTCAAACTCCGTCCTAAACAGCCAGTTGTTCCATCTCCTCCGCAAGTTGCAATAAGTCGACCTTCAGTCAAGGTCACTCATGGTTCAAATAGTTATTGTTCAACTCAATGTTCATGTCAGTGTTCTATTCATGGCGATAGATCACTGGATCAATCACAGTCTACTCGTCCACCAAGCGAAAGCAGCACATCCCGAGTTGATAACTCCACTGAAAATCTTGTTGCATTCTTACTAGAGGTTATCACAGTCTGTTTTGGTGCTCCAAACCGTGATGACAAAATTTGTCGTATTATGTCCGCTGCAAAGTCTCATCTCCACATTGATATATCTCAAGGTATCTTCCGTTCTTTTTCCAAAATTAATGGTTATGTTAGCATGCGAAAAGATCGCATTGAATATGACCCTACGACCAGAAATCCTAAACGTGGCGGTTGTGCTATTTTTGTCAAATCAAGATTTAACCTATAATAGTCATACTTGCCGAAACTTAATTTTGAGGCAAATGCGGTGGAAATTGTCTCAGACGAGAAACAATTCCTAACCATTGTTAATATATACAGCAATGGTTCGCCATCACTAGATGATTATAAAATGCTGACAAATTCTGTAGATACACCAGTTTTGATATGTGGTGATTTCAATAGTCATAATGCACTGTGGGGGAGCAGGCATACAAATCATGCTGGTCAAGTTGTAGAAAATGTTTTGGATGACACAGGTTTAATATTGCTAAACTCTGGCCAAATGACACGTATAAATATCGGTAACTTTACATTCTCAGCATTGGATCTTACCCTTGTTTCGCCGATTTTATCACACAAATGCCAATGGGGTGTTTATCAACACGACAGTCTGGGGAGTGATCACTTTCCAGTTTTCACTGAAATATCGTTTGCACCTCTTCGAACACCTGCACATGGACTTTCTAGATGGAGATTTAAATCTGCAAATTGGCATAAATTTGTTGAACTTTGTTCAAATGAAATAACGTGTGATCTGCTTACAGATGACATTGAAAGTTCAACTTGTAATCCAACTTTATCTCTGACTAAAATCTCATTTTTACATTGTATTGTCTTCTTTAATTGGAATATTTTAGCTTTGTTCGCTAGTTTTATATTCATATCTGTGATTATCTAGTATTTTTACTGTCCTTCGTCGGCAGGTTTTTATAATATCTATATATATTCTATTTCAACGTCAAATGTTCTCGTCACGATATGGCTGAAATATTGCCGATGTGACGTTAAATAATAACTCACTCACTCACTCTGACTAAAATCTCAGAAAAAGCTATTGGTAAAACTTCCGGAAAGCCAACTACTCGAAATTCTCAGTATTGGTGGAATAACGATTGTGACAAAGCCCATAAAGCTCGACAAAAGGCCTATAACAGACTTCGCAGGACATCCTTACCGGTTGATTTAGAAGACTTTCGGAAAAACGGGCTGAATTCCAACGTCTTGTACGATCATTAAAACGCAGCAGTTGGCGTTCTTACATATCTACAATAAACAGGCGTACTTCCTTGTCTTCAATTTGGGCCAAGGTAAAAAGGATTAGTGGGAACCGTAGTAGATCCCCTATTCCTGTTTTGGATCAAAGGGCTATTTCTCGTGAAGAGAAAGCAAATCTTTTAGCAGATCAGTTTGAGGCTGTTAGCAGCTATGAAAACTTTTCAACAAAATTTAAAAACGAAATCACAAATTTGGAGAATGAGATTATTCCTATAATTTCAGATTCTTTATTACAACCTTTTTCTGAATCTGATTTATCCTTCCACCTGGGAGAATTAAAATTGGCAATATCAAAAGGCAAGAATACATCTCCTGGTGCCGATGAATTGTGTTACGAGCACTTTAAACATATGCCAGATTCAGCTCTAGAAGTCATACTTAATATCATAAATCAAAGCTGGATATCTGGGAAGTTAATACCCAAAGCTGGAGACACGCTATTGTTATCCCTGTTCCCAAACCTGGTAACGATCCATCTCGCCCTGTTTCATACAGACCAATAGCCTTAACGTCTAACCTGTGTAAAATCAAGGAAAGGTTGGTCACAAATCGTTTGAGTTTCTACTTAGAATCAAATGAATTATTAACGAGGCTACAGTGTGGGTTTAGGAAAACTCGTTCTTGCATAGATCATCTAGTTCGACTACAAAATGAAGCACAAAAGAACTAGGAAACCAAGAGTATATGCTGTGTGTATTTTTAGACATTGAAAAGGCATATGATATGTTATGGAGAAGTGGACTTTTATTTAAACTGCAAAGTTTGGGGGTAGGGGACGTATGCTACAGTGGATAAAGTCCTTCCTAACTGATCGAACCATACAAGTTCGTATTGGGCAAGACGTGTCTGACATGCGAATTATTGTAAATGGCACTCCACAGGGCAGTGTTATAAGCCCTTTGCTCTTTAATATAATGATCAATGATTTCTTTTCTTAACTTCCTTTAAACATTGATGCATCACAATTTGCAGATGACTGTGCTTGCTGGGGACGTTTTGGAAACATTGAGTTTTTTCATAAATCTATCCAATTAGCTCTAAATTCTATAGATCTTTGGTGTTCAAAGTGGGGGTTCAAGGTTTCAACTTCTAAATCAGTTGCTATGTTCTGAAGCTACACATTGGTGGTCAGGACATAAAATTTGTTATTGAATTTAAATTTTTGGGTGTAATCTTTGATCAAAAACTCACTTGGTCAAACCACATCAACTACATTTCATCAATATGTACTAAAGTTCTCAATTTACTGAAAAGCGTGTCTGCCACAAAGTGGGGTGCTGATAAATCATCCTTGCTTCTTTTGTACAAAGCACTAATTTTGTCTAGATTAGAATATGGCTGTCAAGTTTTCATGAATGCTGCAAAATGTCATTTGGCTAAACTTGATGGTGCTTTTCCAACTACTCCAGTTTCTGCCCTGCAGGAGGAATGCTCAGAATGGAATGGAATATCATCGTCTTAAAGTTGCCCTTAAGTACTATTTATCTTTAAAAGCTCCATCTAGGTATCAACCAGCAACTGGTATATTGTGTGAGTGTGTGGAATATGTCATGTGTGATTGAAATCATGGAAAACCACCGTTTGGATTGCTTGTACAACAATTTGCATTTCAGTACAAGTTGAACAATATTCTGTTGAATGCTGCTCGATCTCTCCGTAAAACGGTTCCATGGACTTTAACACAACCTTCGATTTCACAGGATTTATCGGAGTTTGTAAACAAACAAATGTCACCAAGTGTTATTTAAATCCTAACCCAAGATTACATGCACACCAAATATAGCATTTTATATTCCCGATATTGGTTTATCCAAAAGATTTAGATTGACTGATCATCTGTCTGTATTTGCAGCAGAACTGACAGCCATACTTCAAGCTTTAAAATGGGTAAAAGATAATGAACACGAAGCAATAATTTTTACTGATTCGTTGTCAGCTGTACAAGCAATTCAATCAGGTGTACAAGGTTCACGCAGTGACATACTATACGACATATTGTATCTTGATACTGTTTTAAACTCCATGTACATCAGCTGTGATATTGTTTGGATTCCTGCACATGTTGGTGTAGCTGGAAACGAAGTAGTTGGTAAACTTGCTAAGATGGCTTGCAACAGACCACAGCCAGATATTCATTCAATTAAGCCCATTCCAAGAGAATACTGGTTTGTCATTTCATCTTCAATAACTGCATCTTAGCAAAATAAATGGGATACTGAAACTACAGGTAGACACATGTACTCTACTTGTCCTGTAGTAAACAAACATTTAAAATTCGTCGGCGTTGTCGCAGAGATGAAGTTGTTTTAACTCGTCTCAGGCTGGGACATTGTGGATTAAAGGCATATAGAAGTATTTTAGATAAAGACCTATCCCCTCTGTGTGAAAGCTGTAACTTACACTGCCCAGGAACAGTTCAGCACTACCTCATTGAATGTCCAGCTCATGAAAACTCACGTAAGGCTCTTAAAGAAACTGTGCTTAACAAAACCCAAAATACTTGAACGCAATACTTGGCGATAATTTAATGTAGGGTTGCATACAAAGAGCTGTTTTAGTCTTCCTCGTTAAAACGGGTCAGTACGACGTAATTTAATTGAACAAATATATAACAGTTTGTTAAGTGTTGGGCGTATATAGGCCTTTTAAGGCCCAAGGTCGCCCTAAAACCTTATCTATCTACCTACCTACCTGAAACGACTGGGCTTCTTGTGGTCGCCTCTTTGCGGATGTGGTTCACCAATAACACTGATCGACACGAACGAATCACTCCAGAAAATTAATCCTTTACGTCTTGTAATGATAACTGAGTGCTTTGGGTTGTCCCAGTAATATCGATTTACTCGGGACATGCAGAAACAGATCAACCAAAGCCCTCAGAGCCATATGAACACCCAATACGATCTACTTTGTCCGTTATATTTAATTATGACACCTTTCTAGCCATTTCCGTAAAACTTATAACACTGGTTACGTTACTTATTTGATCTGATTTTCTTCCTACACTCACGTGCGATTCACTGGATGTGAAAAAGCAGAATCATATTTGCAATCTAACGGACAAAACGAAATCTTATATTACGAATACTGGAAATGATCATTAGCATTATTGTTAATTATTTTATTATTAGGTGGGTATTTATATAGCGCTATAGTCCATCACATGTGCATGCATGTACACAGCGCTAATAGTCATAACTAACGTCGCATATTGCGATTATAGTTTGTGGTTGAATACTCCGCAGGGAGCTGAGAATGAAAATTGATTACACACCGAATCGTAATAATGTAACGCGACTGAAGTAGAATGGCGCACACAAATGGAATTATTATCATTATTTTCTGCTATTATTTGTACTAGGGCTACTGTATTCGTATGGAATGGATGGAATATCCTTCAGTCCGATCAATAGCGTCCGCTACGTTACGACCTGTCGTAACTCTATAGTTCATTTTAGACTTACGGATGTCGTAGTTATACGAACGTTTTGTCAACCGGGACCCTGAATGTTATCAAAAATGTTGAAAACTGTTTGGTGTTTGGTTGCAGAAATCATCGAGGTGACGGCAGTTACTCAAGTACATTCGCTGCTTCTTGGACACGACCCAACTCCTAGATGACCGAGGCGAGGCCTACGGAAGTAGCCACTCATCTGATTATATCGTGACAAATCCCGCCCAGTATAGTCACTGTATCATTATAGTGTCAATCTGGGAACTGTGGTGTACATGCGTAAACAAGTGCGATAGTATTAATCACATCCTTGTCAGGACTGCAAGTCTACACTTGAGGTCAAGAGAACTTAAAATGTAAAAGGGAATACACATTTATTTGTGTTTCATAAATTATACCGATTTCCAAAAACGAACCATACAATTATATTGCAAAAACATGTGCAAACCCTAAGTTCATCTTGGTACTAAATGTGTGCTTGTGGTTCCCCACATTTCATTTTCTACAACAGACTAAGTTTACATTGTCGCAAGAAGACTGACAGCAAGTGTCCAATGTGGTTTGTAAGGACACCTCTATAAACAGAACTCGCAGTGGGTGAGAGGCACTGACCAATACTGACACACCATGACCTGCTGTAACAAAAGAATGTCATTATGTTGTTGTTTTTACTGATTCCCATTTCCCACCTGCCCTGAATTTTCATTCCGAAGTGAAATCATAAAAATGCCATTTGTCCATGTCCCTGTTGAAATTTAAAGCTGCAATGTGATTCATACTCCAGGGGTGGAAATAACCCATTGCCCGACTCCCGAGTCCAGTGTTTTTTTCTGTGGGGCAAGCAAATTTGTATATCACACAGTACCGGTGTCCAGTTGATATTCCAATGTTGTTTATTTAAAAAATCAACAAGAAAACGGCCGGTATAGTGGATTAATTATCAGGGCAAGTGATTTTACATGTGCCACTGTACCAGAGTACACTAGCAATTTTAAAGTTATTTCCACCCCTGTACTCTTACCCTTGCACCTCATGATCAGAGTGATCAGAAACCCCAGATCAGCCTGATCTTTCTTCATCTACATTTAGTTAAATAACTGTTAAGAACGCAAAACTACCTGATGTATATAATATATCAATCTGAAGACTGTTACCATGTGATCTAAATCTTAAAATTTCACAACATAGGTTGAGTTTGGAGAAGAGAAACACTATAAAAATATGAAGGGCCAAAGCCTAATCACCAGCATTTAACCTGTACTCCCTTTCTGCGCATATATGTTTTCAATCCCATTGATTAAATCACATTGTATAGTTTTGTTTATAAGACTAGGGACCATTCATAATTATACTTAAGAATTGTGGGGTGGGGTGGGGTGTCATTGATTTTGTCCATGACATGCAGGGGGGTCACATACTTTGTACATAATTTTTCTTTTCTTTCTTTTTTTTTTTGGGGGTCATTCACATGACACATGCTTCTCCATAAAAATCATCAGCATCCCCACCCCACCCCACCCCCTTGCCATTAATTATGAACCCCCTTGCCATTAATTATGAACTGTCCCTGGCTAGAATGACAGTTTCTACATGCAGTGTTTGTCTAGGACTGTTTTGGTAAACCTAGGCTAGCCCTGGAGGCAAAGGGGATGTCAGTTTCCGCAGGTGGGTTTAGGTCTAAGTCATGAATGTAAATCAAAGGCAAAGAACATGAGCTCCACTCAGTCTATGCCTTGAGTCTGTGGTGACAGAGATGAGAGTTCACTGACAGAGGAAGACCAACAGGTCAGGGTGTCATTGTACAAAGCGATCTTAGCACTAAGGTGACCATAACTACCATACCTTAACATAGACTTAAGGGAGTCTTTAGCTAAGGTTGTTTTGTGCAAAGGCACCCTTGTCACTTCCTCAGTTGAGGTTGGCCATCCAGATGCTCAAGGAATACCTAATCCCATGGTATTCTGACATGACACATTGCTGTCTTTGTATGTAGTTATTTATAATGTAAGTAAAACTGTATATTCATGACTCTCCTCTTGTGTTGGTGAAAACAAACCTAGAAATACAAACAGGACAAACTGGCATTCACATCCATGATCACAGGAACTTTTGAACAAGAAAACAGCATTATCACAATCCTGCCACAGGGCACATTAGAATTATGTTAGTTCATTCAGTAATGAATGACATGGAAGTATATGTTGACCGAAAAATGAGTCACATAAAGCCATAAAAAGAGAAAGGCAAAATGGTTGCTTTATGTCATCAGAATTTTTTTTAGGAAATGTGAAATAACCACACATAAAAGGGCCCTCCTTTCAAAAAATAATTGTGGTAACAAATTTTGATTTCAGTGTTCAAGTAACTTCATGTTACTTCAGTAATTTCTGAGAATACCTGCCTCCACTCTGTCTATAAATGTGTCTGCCCAAGATTAAAAATAAGGGATTTTGTACATGACATTACACTTACCTTGTACATAAATTTTAGGGGTGGAGGATGGGGAGGCTTTCACTTTGTACATGCTGCTCCATAAAAATCATCATCACCTCACTAGCCATAAATTATGAACGGTCCCTAAGCAAGGGAAGTACCTCTGGAAACAATAATCTATGGCATGTTTCTTTTAACTCAGCTTGATAATTATCTCTCCGATAAGCATGCCACATTCATTCATGAAAAATAGGTAGTTTCCGAAAAAACTCACTTTCTTGAAGTTTGCAGTAATTTGATAAGGATGGAGCAAGGGCCATAACTCTATAAAAATTTGATTTAGTAGACACAAAATTTCTAATTCATTTTATATCATGACCAGTCTCATCAGTGTGTAGAATTTGAGTTCTCTAACTTAAATAGTTTTTGAGAAAACCAGCCTCATGAAACACAGTATGCACCACACTAAGAGGCATGGATCAAGGGCCATAACTCTGTAAAAAATTAATTAATGACACCAATTATTTTTTTAACTCATTCTTGATTGTGACAAGTAAAATTTCACATTTCCAACTTAATGCAACTGGAATACAAATTGGTACTAATACCCATCAAGAGTTGACCATGATGAAAATTCCTTTGACCCATATGAAAAATCATTGGTATTATATTAAGGTACCTCATTATTGCTATCAAGTCTAACATGATGAATGGAGGTATTAAAAAGAAACTAACAAAAACACAAGCATACATATTATATTTTTATTCTTGATGAATACACATCAACCTCACAGAAATCATGGGAAGTCAATAGGCATAAATCAGATCAGACCTTTTAGACTGAAAACTCAGTAACAAAGTATAGTACATCATAATAAGTCTTTAAAGCAATATAAAAAGACAATAAGCAATTAAACTGAGGTGAACACTCATGCTATCAGTAAGGTGTACGCCTGATACTTGATCTCCTGGGAGGCACAAGAACAGAAGGGATGAGAAAGCTGTGGGACAGACCCCATCTGGGAATAATGGTATGAAGATGTTTAAATACCAGTAAGGCCAGACCAATTTTATTTCTTGTTTTACGGATTTTTGTCCTCACAAAACCTAAAGGCAGGATTGATTTTTTTTTTAAATCACCAGTCAAAGCAAAATCCAACATAAGTTTCCATGATGACTCTTTTGGTTTGTTCATATCAACTAAAATTTAGTTGAGTGAGTTTAGGTTTCACACTGAGTATTTCACTTATATCACATTAACATTAGGATATTTGTTTTTTGAGGGGAGGGGGGGATTAATTTTTTTTCTTTCTTATTCTTGAAAAAATACGACCGACAAAACTGTAAAACAAGAAATAAAATCGGTCTGGCCTTATATATTATTGCAAAACAAATTATACAATCATCATGTAGTTTATGTTCACTTGACTGTGAAACCCCACCCCACCCCAACCCTATGCCACAGTCTTCAAAACACTCAGAACCAAACTGTTTGCTCATGTTTGTATTATTGTTTTCACACAATTCTGTTAAAGTCAGTTTGGTCATCTAACACATGCTCATATCTTAGATGAACACTCCTTAGAAAGAGCTACAATTACCCTTTTCACATCATTTAGTTTTGCCTGTATAATAAGTGTTGTTATGAGTCCAAAACATGCAGCTATCAAAATAGACAAAGTCTAATTCTAATTCATATTTAGATACGTTATATAATGTTAGAAAGCTTTCTGATTTCTTTAATTAGGCACCTCTTGGGTGCCTTGTCTTTTCACTGAGAAAGAACTTTACAAGGTTTGATGGTCTATACTGGCTAGCAAACAGTTATCGCCGTGTCACAGTTATCACCAATACATCAATCCCTTCAATTACAATTCTGGTATTTGACAACAATAAAGGACAGCAAAAGAAAATTCTTCACGGTAAGTAAAATAAGAGAAAAATTAAAGATAAAGTTATGAACCCTATAACAAAAATTTTGAACTTAGTCAGGGGAATGTCCCATGACCTATATAATAGCAAGTTCAAGTGTTCATTCCCTATCAATCTACTGTAAAACAAACACTCAGATAGTCACACAATCAATTATTTGAGGTTACTGTACATAATATAAATATATATATTATTTCAGGAATGGCATGAGAAATTCGGAATGGTGATAACTGTTACAGTTAGTTGTGAGAAACATCTATTTATACCGCCATGATTCCCTGCCACCGCATTATATAAAAACATGATCGGTGGCAGTGAACAGGCTGGACACGTCGGTGAATAGGTAATCAAGTATCATAATTAATTCTGTTTCATTAATTTAAAGAACGGCGGAGCAATTTTGTAAATTCCGCTAAAATATGGCGATAAACTGTTCAGTAGCCAGTAGAAATCATGAAAAAATAGATGTCATACACTGATTAACATATTTCAATTGTATTCATTGATACCATGGTAAGGCTTCAGCAGGTGGGGCCTGGAGTGGTCATCAGTCATCATTGTAAACAATTGGCAATATTGTCTTTAAAAGGAAGAGAAGCACATCCCTTTCTTGCCAGAACAAAAAACAGTGCAGATCTAAAGGGGTTAAGCGGAACTATATATGCAATATCTGATAAAGACACTATCAATGAACCTCAGCCTCTTTGCTATTGTATACAAACATGCAGTTTGTAAACAAACTGTCATGGAATGTCTTCACCCATATGTCAGATATATTATGGTATTTGACGCCTGTATAAGTGTGTATCTGTCAACTCTGCTAATAAAATGAAATAAGGAGACAACTATCAGTTTGATGTGTAGAGGTATAATGTTGTTCAGATCGTGGAAAAGCTGGACATTGTGCAGGACATTGACCTACTTCTATATGGATTATGTGTTAAAGACTGACAGATATTTCAGGGGGACAAGAAGGGGGAACATAAGGACAAACTACAGGTATATCTTCTTGTTTTGTGGGAACAAACTGATATCAAAATATCAGTCATCAGGTGATTACCCCTATAAGTACAATGTACACACAGTAAGT